CAAATTGCTCTTCCAGGAGAAAGAACTACACTTGCTCAGGGAATTCTACTTGCTGTTGGATAACCGTGGTCAGATTAAAGGCGGAGAGGTGTATTAAAACACCTTTGTCGTAAGTGGCCCTATAGACAACACAATTGCCCAGAGTAAGTCAATTTACATACTCAAGTCGAACCCTTGAGTTAGGAGTGTGTTTAATTACATATGAAACATATTCCGGGGTTGTCAAAATAGGCAATCCTCAAATAATGACGCTAAAATTATCAAAATACCGAATATCGGGGGCTACCGTTATATGGGGGCTATATGAGGACGTGGACCTACATGGCTCATTTTTTGAATTAGGATTACGAATCTATTACGAACTTCAAATACCAAATTTGGAACGATTCCGTTAAATAATGTCGCTAAAATCATCAAAATACCGAATATCGGGGGGTACCATTATATAGGGGCTATACGAAAACGTGGACCTACATAGATTATTTTCTGTCTTAGGCTGTAGTATCCATTACGAACTTCAAATACCAACTTTGAAACGATTCTGGTAAACAATGTCGCTAAAATCATCAAAATACCGAATATCGGGAGGTACCGTTATATGGGGGCTATATGATTTCTTGGACCTACATGGCCCATTTACGAACTTAACCTGCCTACTGGCAAAATATACATGTGTGCAAAAGTTTAGCCTTCTATCTCTATTTGTTCGAAAGATAGCGTGATTACAACAGACAGACAGACAGACGGACATGGCTAAATCGTCTTAGAATTGTACGCTGATCAAGAATATATATACATTGTTGGGTCTGACATGAGTATTTCAAGGAGTTACAAACAGAATGACAAAATTAATATACCCTCCATAGTATGGTGGAGGGTATAAAAATATTGTTTTCTCCCAAAGATTTATTATATCACTGATTTTACAATTTCCATTAATTTTTTCAATTAATTAAGATAAGATCAATCAAAGCTGGTGTGTTTCCTCTTAAGGCGAGAATACATAAAGCGCTTTTTCGACTGACTATGTAAAGTCAAGGGCTGGCTTCGTCATAGAATAACAAAGGAGTTTTAGGTTGACATAGTTCGATTTTGACTATGCGCTCCTTTGTTCCTTTGCAGCCTGTTTTCGTAACTAATTTTTTTGTATGTAATTTGGGCAAATGAAAGCAATTTTTTGTTTTTACGACAAATATTAGTTGTGTTCTAGCACTGAAAAGTTTCTGCAACATGTCCAAAAGTGGCAAAATTTGACACCAAAAAAATGGAAATAGAATGAATTCTACAACAAATTATTTTCTGTGAAATTGGGAACGAAAGTGAATTAAAAGATTTAACAACAATTTAACAATTAATATTATATTTTATGATTTTCCCTTTTAATTCTTGAACGTTCAATAAGTTTTACTGGATTTCAAATCATGTATCTTCATTCTCGAGAATTCCAATAGTTTCGCGGTATGGCTGCTTGTTGAATCCGACAAAGATGAACTTTTGGAAAACCTGATGAAATCAATATGTGAAATGTTTTGAGTCTTCTGCAATATTCTTATTGAAATTTATCAAAATGTCTACAAAAACGCAAATCTTATATTTTATTTCCACCATATTGTTGGCATTATTTTCGGTTCCCGTAGTTTTTGAACTATTTCTTTTCTTTGAGATCATAATACAAAAGTTGTTTGATAGTCTTTTCTTTTGCTAATTTTACCACTAATTTAAAAATAATTTAGCTATTGGTTTTTGTATGTCAGTGGCAAGAAAATGGACTACTTTGTCTTTCATTATATTTTTGGTTTTCGTAAATAAAATATGCAAAAGCAGGAATTGAAGGAAAGGGTTCTTCTTTGGTAGTAGCATATGTAATAACATATACCAAAAGTCCCTTATTTTTACTTCAAGTGTTTTTTTTTTATTTTTGTTTTCACTTTGCCAATGACAGCAACCAAAAATACTTAACACTCAACAGGTTGGTACAGGAGCATAAGCGGAAAAGAACATCCGAACTATTGCAACATTGGAACTGATTTGAATAAACTGTGGGTAACGGTAAAGTCAATCTCGAACCCTGGGAAAAAGGATGATAGGACAGAAGTCACATTTAATGACGTAACGGTGACTGATCCCAAGAGGTGCGCTGGCCATTTTAACCGCCAGTTTGTCGAGCACCCGGAGAGTGGTAGGGCAATGCGAAGAGTATTAAGTCGTATAAGGGATCTTCCCCCCGAGGATGTACCTCCACAGTCTACGATGGGTAATGTTGCGAATGTCATTCGAAACGCTAATTCATCTAAAGCGTTGGGCCCGGACGGAATATCAATGGTAATGTTGAAGCAACTGGATACAAGGGGAATTGAATATCTAACCAAAGTCCTTAACTTGTCGTTGGCCATCCACATAGCTCCCGAAGGCTGGAAAATGCGCAGGGTATTCAGTTGCTAACCATCAACACGGTTTCCGTCCACTATATAGCACCACAACAGCGTTGCACGCCATATCCACACAAATCAGTAGAGGACTCAACCAGAACAGGCCGTGCCATAGAACAGTAGTAGTGGCTTTTGATCTATCAAAGGCCTTGGATACGGTCAACCATGCCACACTGTTCGAGGACGTTGAGAATACGACCCTCCGGCAAAGTTTGAAACGTTGGATAGTCAACTATATGTGTGGACCCCAAAATCTGGAGAGAGAGGTCCAACGATAAGAGAGGGCCTAGATCATGAGGCCTATCTATCCTCGGAGTCCACCCCAATCCATTGCAGCTGAAAAACGTCGGCTGCCTAGGCAAACCAGGGTAGTTTCGTATTGGGCTCGAATTGACGAAGATGTGCGGTACGCCTGCCCAGCGTGCGAAACCTGCCCGCACAATGCGCAGTATCTGTTTAATTGTCCAGCCAAGCCTACCAAGAGGGTCTCTGGCTACAGCCCATATAAGGTAGTACAATTCCATAAACTGGACGTTGAGGAAGAACCGGATTAATCCGTCAATAAACAACAGAACATGTTAACACTGCTACAACAACAACAACCAAAAACACTTATAGTAGTATTTGCTCATGACTCTAACCAAATGGAATCAACATTAATTTTTAACATCAATTGTCTTCATATTATTTTTATACCGTCCCACATTCTATGGAGGATATATTAACTTCGTCATTCCGTTTGTAACTCCTCGACATACACATGATAGATCCTACAAAGTATATGTGTATATTCTGGATCAGCGGAAAATTCTAAGTCGATTTAGCACTGTCCGTCCTTCTGTCTCTTGAACAAATTGAGATAGAGGGTAAAATTTTGCACAAGGGTGTATTTTGCCAGTAGGCAGGATAAGTTTCTAAATGGGCCATGTTGTTCTACGTTTCCTCCCTTTATTCCGTATTTTCATAATTTAGCTACATTACTCACATTTCAATCTATATACATTTAAAGTTTGTAATGTATACTACAGCCTATGACAATAATTTTCGTATGCAGGTTCACGCATTCGTACAGCTCCCACATAACGGTACCTCACTTTCTTCGGTATTTTGATATTGGCGACATTATTCCATATTTGTAGTTCGTAATGGGTACTATATCTTGCGACAGAAAATTGTCCATGCAGGTTCACGTTTTCGTATAGTCCACATATAACGACAAAGAACATGTTCTGTTCCAGAACAACAAGATGGTATGTTCAGTACTTGCTAGAATCTACTAGTTTTGCAATTTTCTTCGATATCATAAAGAGAAAATCTTTATCATAGTAAAAACTTTTTCATTCTTGCAGTTCTGGAACAGACTAAGAGTCTACTAGTTTTACATTTTTTTGATTTCATAATGGGAAAATAGTAGCCGGATACTATTTCGGTGGATAATGTAAACCATCAAGGTAACGTCAAGCAATCATATGTATGCAAATTTTTCAAAATTGTACATTTGATAAAAGTTTTATATACAAATTCATTGTTTGCAAACAAATCAGTGATGGGAATCTACTTTCAATTAGGTTATTCTTGAAAAGGTAAATTACAGAAAAATGCAGATCTGGATATTATTATTAATTGAAATTATTTAATTGTGACATGCGAGTCACCAAGGTGTCTTTTTATATAATATAATAATTTACGAATGGTAAAACTATTATACTTTGATAAATGGTATATTCCATAATAGAATAATATAGGTAGACGCTTCGACATAGCTGCTGAGACAATGAACTGTCAAACCAATTTTGGGATTGAAAATATTGTATGAAAATATTGAATGAAAAATTCTTTAAATTTTGAAAAATTGTTGAAAAATACGAATTATAATAACCTCCGAGTGACGTCGTATAAGAAAACATATAAAAATCTACTTATATTTAAAAAAACATTTAAATTTTTTTGACATATCAATGCTCCCAAGCGATCTACCTGTATATTTTGAAATTTATGGTTGATCTGGTTCATTACCAAGAATCCACTTGTTAACTTCCTCTTGTTTTCCACACGGGATTTGAAATAAATCCGGTCTGGTAAAATAAATGCGGAGTAAGCTATAAATCCTGATGTTTGTTACTCCAGATAATATTTTGTGTCTAAACGCGTATATAACGAAAAAAGGATATTTTACAACAATCAACAATTCACTAATCCATGGTAGAAGAATACAGGTAGATGCATGAGTGGAAACATTGATATGTAAAAAATTTTAAAATGTTTTGTCAATAATAAGTAGATATTTTTACATCCTCTTGTGCAACGCAAATCGGAGGCTGCTATAAAAATCATTCAACAATTTTTCAAATTTCAATAGACATTCATTATTTTCAGTTCCAAATTTGGTTTGACAGTTCATTGTCCCTGCAGTTGTGTTGATGCGACTACCTGCATTCTTCTACCATGCACTAATCACGACAGATTAATATTCACGTTACTTTCTCCACTAATCGCAATATTGCATTGCAGTTGATCACCTCGATAGTTTTTCGATGGTATTAAATCTACGAAGTCCCGCAGCGTTGTTAATATATAGTAGTGTTCTAAAAAGTGTATAAAGCATCTCGGTCAACATGTTTGTGTATTTAACTGAAATTCTTTATTTTGTTTAGATATTTATAATGAAATGTTTATAGTCGGTATATACCATATTAAAAAATTATTAAAGTTAGTTGAGCATCTATTTGATATATAATTCGTTCACGTTTGCAATATGGTGTCAATGAAAACATGTGAAGCCCGATGTATTGCCTTTCTGGCCATAATAAATGTGATTTATTTTTGTGCTTTTGTGATTGGTTGTGATTGTAGGACATTAAAGGAGGAAGGTAACGTATTTCACAAATGCAATTTTAAAAGTTGTCATAACACCAATATTTTTGTGAGCAAGTCAGTAGTTCACGCCCGCTGAAGTTTAAAAGTTTTGTTTAAACCATTTATGTTATGCATGTGTATGGGTGATGGGGGTACATACACAAATAAAGTTAAGTTTTTCGTTTGTGTCCTAAATATCAAAGGCTTAACACTAGTAAAAACTCTCGGATTTTTTTGAAATTGTTTCCAGAGTTAGGAATTCGTATCTGGATTCCGGGTTGAGTTGTTCCCTAACTCTAGTTTAGTAAAAACTCTTCGATTTCTTCGAAATTTTTTCCAGAGGTAGTTATTTTTTACACTGATCCCGGGAAACTATTTTTTTCTTGGCGGTCAACTTTTGGGGATTTTTATAAAAAATTCGGGTCCAACAAATTTATAATTTGGCTATAACTTCCGGACCGGAAGTGACCACTTGCTAGATAGGTATTTCCATAAGCTTTCAAACGATACCTATTATATCGGTTAAGTGGATCCGGGTACAACCCGGGTCTGGAACCCGTAATTTAGGGTCAAAAATCTGGGTTCCCGGGTCCTTTACCCAAATGTCAAATTTAGAGAACATTGGTTCGCGCTAGCCGGTGTGGGAGACACCCAGAGGAGAAAGTTTCAAGCCCCGGCCGAAGGTCGACTACTTACAAAAATATCAAAATCAGATAACTTTTGTTCGCGTTAGCAGGTGAAAAAAAAATCTCAAGCCCCAGCCGAAGGCCATCTACGAGGGCGGTTCGGATACTTCTTAGCCTATCAACGAAAGTTTTTTAAAAATATTTTTATTTTTCAATATATTCTCCCATGGTATAATTATTACAGATAGAAGCAAAACCAGCTGACTTGACTCTATAGTAATACTAGTGCTAATTCCGATATGACGTATTTTTATTTAATTCCATTAAACCTATTGTATATCAAACAATAGGTTTACCCTTTTTTGGTATAATATTTCACTGCATTTCAATGTGGACGTTATTTAGCCGAATATAGTAAAAAATAGTCCCATATTTCATGTTACCTAAAATTGCAAACGTAGAATACTTTATTTATGTACGGAGTTTGGTTTCAATTTGAAAGACGATTGCTTGAATCGTTGAGATATTTGCACCTACAGCTAAGAACTATACATTCCAATCCCACGGCAGCGGGTCCTACGATACCGGATTGACACGAAACAACAAGATCCCAGTTTCGGCCAGCGGCTGCCAACCCAGTATGTACATGTTTGTGTTTGTTTATTTTTCTGCATTGGGAGCAGCATATCCCGGAATGCTTGCTCCGGATTTTATTAGTCCGTGCCGGTATTGAGGAAAACCTCGGACCTTGGTTCTGCTCGGTTTGTCAGTGTTTCGGTGCGATGTAATGGATCCAGAACAGCAACCAACACCGCAGCACCTAACGCCACATGTTGCTGTTCCAACTCCGGATTGTGCATCATTCTTGCAATTCAATTGCAAATGACTCCGAGGCAAAATAGATGAGATAGTGGAATTTATGAGTCGAGGAATATTAAGAGCGCAGCGGTGCAGGAAACCAAGCTGAATGAAAATTGCAGCCTACAACGTTGTTATGGTTACAACGTACTAAGGAAGGATCGCACCAGTGGAGGTTGGGGATTAGCGATTCTGTTACACCATTCTGTTCAGTACTCGCTTGAGCTAGTCTCTAGTGTCCCATACATGGAATCTATGGGGGTAGAGTCAAGTGTGGAACTGCCGAGGTAGAGGTGCTTAATGTGTATATCCCGCCGATTAATAGCTGGCCATTTTTGGTAGTCAATAACCGACTGGTACTAGGGAATTTTAATGCCCACCATGAGTTGTGGCATTCCGTCCTAGGTAATTACCAGAGGGGATCAGCGCTGGCAAAGCAAAGTCCAGAGAATTCACCAACCACCCCTTCAGAGAACTACCCAACTCTTCTGATGTTCGGGTAGCAGAAAGGATTTTCCAAACATCATCAAAGCGAGCGGCTGCAGGCTCGCTATATACCTGTTGGTCGAATACCCGAGATAAGACCAAACTTCCCAGCAGAGTCAGCGGGATTAGCAAATGAGCGTTATGATCTCCATGGTACCAAACCTACTTATCCTTGAATCAGTGATTTGACAGAGGAAGTCAACCGGTTGGTACAGGAGCATAAGAGGAAAAAGTGGCTAGACCATCTGAACCGATATGAGTAAGCTGTTGGTAACGGTAACGAACCCTGGAAAAAAGTATGATAGGACCTCCGTCACATTTAACGACGTAACGGTGACTGATCCGAAAAGGTGCGCGTACTACGTCGTATCAGATCTCTCAGGATTATCTACATGAGGAGGCGAAAGTCCTTCCTTTACGTCAGCACAATCATATGCTTTCGTTGCAGTACTTGCTTAGGTGTTAGCGTGAGAGTCATCTCAACCATCATATGGTGGATAAATCTCCACCACCCAGGCGTGGTTCAACGTTACAAAGGAGAACCTCTAGATCATGAAGGCTATCAGGCAGGTCTGAGTGTCATTCATACCGACGCAGTCGCGGATGCTATATTAGCAGCTATAAAATGAATGCCGTCCTCGGAGTCCACCCCCCATCCATTGCAGCTGAAGAACATCAGCTGCCTAGACAAACCAGGGTAGTCATCTCAATTCGTATTGGGCACGAATTAATGAAGATGTCCGTGACGCCTGCCCGGCCTGTGATACAGGTCCGCACACTACGCTGCACCTCTTTAATTGCACAGCCAAACCTACCCAACTCACTCCAGAATATCTCTAGTTACAGCCCATCAAAGTTGCCGAATTTCTAAACCTGGAGCTGGAACCAGATTAGCAGAATTCAAACACTTGCATGTTCTACGACTACAACAACAACAACAACCATATCATTAACAATCCCACGGCGGCCGGTTCTATGTACCGGATTGACTCGGAGGCACATATCTCCGACCAGGGGCCGCCAACCCAGCAAATACATGTTCGTGTTCGTCCATTTTTCTGATGTGGGAGCAACATTACCCGGAATGTTTGCTCCGTATTCTCTTGGTCCGAGCCGGGATCGAAACCAACCCCGGACCATGGTTCTGCTCCGTTTGTCGTAATCGCATCCACCACAGATCGGTTTCGGTGAGATGCAACGGATGCATGGAGTGGGTGCATTTCCGGAATTGTTCCGGCCTAAACCGGATACAGGAGTATAGCGATAGGGACTACATTGCTTCCTGCTGCGTCAATGTAGACCCCAGTGAGTCTTCATCTTCGGCGTCCTCATCGTCGTCGCAATATGAGACTCCCCCGCAATCTCCCCAACAGCAACCTACGCAGCAGTTGACGCCACACATTGCTGTTCAGGTTCCGGATAATGCATCATTTCTCCAATTTAATTGTGATGGTCTCAGAGGTAAGATTAACGAAATTGTAAGCTTTATGAGCCGGAAGAACATCAAGGTCGCAGCGATCCAGGAGACGAAGCTGAGTACCACCTGCAGGCTTCAAAGTTGTGATGGATACAACGTACTGAGGAAGGATCGCTCCAGAGGTGGAGGTGGAGGATTAGCGTTCCTATTGCACCACTCTGTCCAGTACAGACCTATCTCGCCTGAGCTTGACTCTAGTGACCCGTACATGGAATGTATGGGGGTAGCGGTCAAGTGTGGAACCGCCGAGGTAGAGGTGCTCAACGTGTACATTCCGTCGTTAAATAGCTGTGCCCCACGTTATATGCCTAATATCAGTTCACTACTGGTAGGCAATAACCGTCTGGTGCTAGGGGATTTCAATGCCCATCATGAATTATGGCATTCCGTCCTAGGTAATGACCAGAGAGGCATGGCGCTGGCTGAGCAAATCGATAGCTCCACGTTTTGCACAGTGAATGAGGACGCGCCCACCAGAATAAGGGGAGACTGCCACAGTTCTCCGGACATATCCATCGTGTCCCCAGGTCTGACGAATGACGTAACTTGGCAATCAGTCATTTCACTAGGCTCAGACCACCTCCCCATTATTATCGCCATCAATAGACCACCCGACTTCATCGACTCTGAACGCCGCACTTTCCTTAACCACGGGAAAGCCAATTGGCAAGAATTCAGAGAGTATACCAATCGCCGCTTCAGAGAACTGCCCAACCCATCTGATGTTCAGGTAGCAGATAGGTGTTTCCGGGACATCATCAAAGCTGCAGCCGCTCGCTATATACCTGCTGGTCGAATACCTGAAATAAGACCAAATTTCCCAGCAGAGGCAGCGGGATTAGCAAACGAGCGAGATGAGCTTCGCCGTACTAACCCTAATAACCCCAGAGTCAGGGAACTTACTCTGGAGGTAAACAGGTTAGTAGGTGAGCATAAGCGGAAAAAGTGGTTAGAACATCTGAAGCATTGCAACATCGGTACCGGAACGAGTAAATTGTGGGCAACGGTTAAGTCGCTTTCGAACCCTGGAAAAAAGGACGATCGGACATCTGTCTCATTTAACGGCGTAGAAGTGACAGATCCGAAGAGGTGCGCGTGTTATTTGAACCGGCAGTTTGTAGAGCACCCCGAGAGTGACAGGGCGAAGAGAAGGATACTACGCCGTGTACGATCCCTTCCAGCCGAGGAGGTACCACCACAATTTACGTTGGCAGATGTTGCACAGGTCATCAGAAGCGCAAAGTCATCCAAAGCGCTTGGTCCTGACGGAATCTCAATGGTGATGTTGAAGCAACTGGATGAACCAGGAGTTGAGTATCTGACAAAGCTTCTCAATCTGTCGTTAGCCACCCTAGTAGTTCCCGATGCCTGGAAAATGGGCAGGGTGGTCCCGCTACTGAAGCCAGGCAAGGATGCCAGCAAAAGTGATTCATACAGGCCGATATCACTTTTGTCACCAGTAGCAAAGACGCTTGAGGCTTTACTCCTCCCCAGCATAAGAGAGTGTTTCCCAGTAGCCGATCATCAACATGGATTCCGGAAATTGCATAGCACTACAACGTTGGAT